GCGGGGATTGTATCTACTTGTCTATTCACACGGGTTCAGATGATTGTTGCCTGTAAAACGGACTGTGGTTTTGTGCAGCCGGAATCATCCATCGGGTAGTTCGAACTTGGATACAGTGCCCAAAGATCGATAGCTGAAGGGCGCAGAGCGAAAGTCCGGCTGGGCTACGGGCTACATTCTTTTGCACCGCACGCGCCTGACCCGGTTGGGATAGATGTTGGTGAGGGCGGAAGCTGCTATTGCTGCCACGATACCGACATGGGGAGACAGTCAACCACCGTTCGGCCTCTGATAGGCCGATCTCGCGGTCACAATCTATCAGCCGATCGATAAGTGCCCACGTATCCATTGGCTTGTAGTGTACGCCCGTTCAGACATGCAGGCATGTGTGTGCATGTTTGATCCGCACAATGCAGCCTGATCGATAAGACGCCTACCGTTCTTCCCTTTCACACAATCCAAGGTAAGAATAGAACACTGGTATGTTCCGCGTACGTGCGTGTTTCGGTGTGTGTATGTGTGTGTGTACGTTCGACCGAATATGCGTGTCAAGCAGGCCAAATGCACCAAATGCACTTGGGCATGGGCCGAAGCCGCCCGGTATGCGATCGATATTTTACAATGAACAGAAAGAAAATGTTTATACTTATCAAAACTATACGTCACAACCATTAAATCAAGCCATACTTCCTCCCGGTTATGAAATATTATGTACTGATTAGCTCTCGAGTTCTAATCTGAGTCTGATGACTGAAGTAGGGCCCTTCCGCCGTCCGGTCGCTGTTTTCCGATCCCTAATGTTGTTATCTTCTGTGGGCTTGCTGACAGGCGTGTAACGCCTCCGTGTTCGACACCGAACTACAAGAACTGTTGGTTTGTCATTCTTGCTATTTTTCACGATTATACTACGTTTGAACTTGTCTAAAGTAGAGAAAAGAAAGGTCTTGGTGCACAGTTTCATGCACAGCATACTGTTAATTTCAAATAACTTACAAAAAGCGATGCTTCACCATTACATTATCACCGCCATTTCTCGCAATTCAATTGAAAAATGTAGAAAGTTAAGAGTTTTGATCGAAAAAATGAAGCTGCGCAGTATCCCCTCCGCATCCAATAAAACAGACAGTGTCTTAGAGGCTAGAATAGGATTCGAATTGATAACTTTAAAAAGGAATGTACAGGAAACACCTCGGTAAAGCTCTAATTCTAAAATACAAACTGGGAGTTCATTTTTAATCAGCATTGTATTTCGATTCGGTTATATTTTGCTGAAATGCATGTTTGTTGAACGCATGAATGGGAAGCAATCATTCACTGAAAAAGAAAACCTTGGCAAGGAGGGATCAGAGAATTTACACAATTATTTGTAATTTATCAGAAAGGAAGAAACTGTATTTATTAAGTCATCATTGCAACCGATCGATTCCCGTCTGAGGTATGTTTTCTGCAAGCCAATGTGTTAAGTTACTTGGTAATCATGAATAGGAACTGAAATGCAAAAGCCAATACCAGTACACACACTTGTATAGTCTTTTTCTGTTTGCCGTACCGAAGATGAATGTATATGACACGATACACATGTCATAAACAAAAAGCCATACTTTCTTTTATGCGAACTGTGCATTTCAGGGTGGCTCGCATGCATTCACGATCTATGATTGAAACTCTTTGGAGGTTATTCGGTAGATAGTTGTATCGGATCGCTATGGCCTACAAATGTCTAACTGAAATAAAGGCTGAGTTGAAAGTAGATTGTGAAAAAACTACTATCAAAGTTGATAAAAGGCTTGTCAATTATAATTGTATTTTAAATAATAAAAATAAACTCTACATTTCAGTCATTAGTATCTCGAAAAGAGGTATCTAGGTTTCGGAGTAAAATAGACGCAAGATATTGGACTGCTACTAAAAGCTTGTCACGTTCAACTTGATTATATATTCGTGATTATGTTTTTATGTGAACTCGGTTGCCGAGTATTTTTACAGTTGCTTATTTACCCTTATTTAATTGATCCCTGTATGAACGCATCTGAATTTTAGAAATTGAATCGAAAAATTTGACTATTCCTACAATATTGGTGAATTGAATAAATCTGCTGTCTAGTTTTATGCGTTATTTATTTTTTTGGTGTAACCATTTATGAACGTGAGCTTAGTCAGTCGATCTCATTTGTTTGTTTATTTAGCGGTGTATCAGAAATACTCAATGCTAAGCAATAATTTCTTCTAAAGTGCTAGTGAGGCAGTATTGATGGAACATGGTAGTCTATATCACTCCTTCAAGGTTCTCATGCATTTAAGTCTGCCGATATCTGTCACTCTAATTTAATA